GGACCTCGCCCGCGTGAGCACGAAAGCATCCTCGGCGCTTTCTGGTAGCAAACTGAGCGGCTCCAACTGCTGACGTTTTCTTCGAAGGTCTGCGAGTCAGGTCCCATGGCTTGACCAAGACGTGAGTTGTCGCCGCCGCCAAGCCAGGAGGCTGTTAAAGACCCCCGTCAGCTGCGCTGGCTTGAACAGGAACATTGCCATCGGAAAATGCTGGACCTGTCCCCGCTGGAAAGCGAGAGGCGCTGGCCGCGATCGACGGGAAAGTCTCCGCCAGGGACTTTGCCTTGGACTCCAACTCCTCCTGGACTCCCAGTTCCCCCAGGAGCTCCTGCAGTTCGGTGAGGTTGAGCTGCAAGGTGGGAAGTGGGGAACCAATGGTGGCGAGCACACCTTCGGCCACCAAACGGTTCCTCTGCACGCGCACACAACTCTTGCAAGTGGACTGGGCGACTGCAAGTAGACTGGGCGACTGGCTTGGAGGGGGTCGCGGCGCTTGGTCCTTTCCGTCCCCAAAGAGCGTCGCAACTCATCCCATGCCAGACCCACGGACTTGGCCACCTTGTGGGGTTCACGATCCACTTCCGCAAGCCGTTGACGGGCTGCCGAGACTGCGCGGGACTCCGAGTGCATCGATATGTCGGCATCTGCAGCGGATTCCTTCTCACGGTGCTCGGGCTTTTCTGACCTTCTCTCGCAGCTGTTGCAACTCCTTCGCAACACCGGCAGCCCAAGGGGGATCAGCACCACGCTTAGCACCAGCACCAGGCTTGTCATGAGACGAGACCGACGGGGAAGTGGGGACGGCGTTCGAACCGAAACAGACTCCTCTTATGCAATCCACAGAGCGCACAAGACGTCCTCCCACTGCCATTGGTCCATGGCTTCCCCATATTGTCATGGATGCAATCTTTGCAGAACCACTGCGGCTTGACAGTGATCCACGACATCGCGCAGTCGCCCCGAGACCGATGGCAAACACAGGCTGCTGTGCGGCGCCCTGCCCAGAGAGATGTCGCGCGAGTGGCCCGAGCTGCTGCTTCGAGCTCTAAACCCCTGGGCCTTCCCAGGAGCGCAATTGCTTTTGAGCCATCTCCACCTCCTTCTCCTTATTTTCCTCCTCCTCCTGCTCCTCCTTCTCCCCCCACTCTCCCTCATCCTCCTCCTCCCCCTCCTGCGCTCGTACTCCACGCCAGTTCGCCCTAACCACTGCCGCCGCTACCACCGTCGCTACCCCCAGGCCTTGCTATGCGCGACGCAGTCCACGCCGAACTGCTTGGGCGGGGCTGATCGGGCTCCAGGGTGCGAAACAAAGACGCTCTAAGTTGGGGGATCAGACCTAAAGCTTCACTTTCACTAAGAGGGTTCGGGAGATGCGAGGCGAGAGTAAATAAATAAAAACTTGCAACCGCATACAACATATTGTAGGGGGGAAGGAGGCCGAAACGAGCGAGGGTGTCTTCGGGGGGCGGGGGGCTTCTAATTCCAATTGCCAGAGCACAGCACTTTGGGCAATTTAAATACTGCGATTGATCATCGGGCTCATCTTCACATCCAAACATACAGCGACGGGACACCTGCTGGAATCGTCGACCCGTGGTCCACGCCTCCGAGAGAGTCTTTATAATTGCATTCCTCCATGCAGGAAGGGGCCGAAGAGTGGCGGCGTGAACTTCCGTCCACTCGATCCGCGCAAGCTCAGCGCCTTCGAGCTCGGGGAAAAGGCGGGGGGGGGCGAGCGCGAAAGGTCGAAACGAGGTCGGGGGGGAATAATGACGCTCTGAGCGCTGCACTCGCAGCAGCCTGAACCTTTTTCTTCTCACGCAAAGCAGTTCTAGCATACTGTGCCGCTAGCGCACCGGCGCCGGCATGCAAGGGCAAAGTCTGGAAGCCATGCGCCGCCTCATGCATACTTACCACGATCGGAGGCTCCTCCCAAAAATTGGGAGATCGGCGGCGCTCTAAAATGTCCTGCAAACTGAAATAAACCTCGGCCTCCGAAAGTTTATCATAACATAGTCGCCATTCAGGGAGCGTGCATGGTGCCGCTCGAGTTCGCGACGCTAAGCTTAGAACCAGAGCCGAGCGGAGATGAGGGCCACCCCAACTCGACATCGAAAAGAACGCAGGGCGCGTCAGAGAGCAGCGCGGCAACTTAAATATGGCCGCAAAGAGAGCATGTTCACGAGCAAGCACTTGCTTGGGGAGCGGACAAAACTGAGCGACGCACCCCAAACAGGATAAGGGCCTAGAGTCGTATTGCGCTGCAGCAATCGACGAGGGCGCCCCACTCTTTGCAATGGCCTTCGCACGCGATATCCATTTCTTGACGGGTCCACCCCGCGAGGATGGCTGGGCAGGCGGCCCGAGATATAAACCAAGATACATAAGCTTCGAGACAATTTGAAAGCCCGCCCAGTCGGGCAGGTTGCGCTCGAGCCAGGTTCTGTACCCCCGCTCAAGCTCAGGGGAAATCCGTCCAGACAGTGGGGCCATCTTACATTTACGCACCTTAAGTTCTAAATTGGCCACCCGCCTCGAAGCCCGAAAGACAGTATGTAGTTGCCGTGACACTTCAAATATATATATATATATATATATATATATATATATATATATATATATATATATTACACTACCTACATCATCTGCACATAGACGGGATATACCTAAGCTTTTGGCCTCAATCAGTTGATATAGATGAACAGCGAACGGGTGGGAGGCGACAGCGTAGAGAGTTCCACTTGCTGGACAGCCCTGGACGATCCCTGACTCGATCATGTACATAAAGAAAAGAGCATCCCCTGCCTGTCCAAAACAGGAGACCCGAGTATATATCATATCCAGAAATTCCAGAAGCGGCCCTGGAAGTTGAAGTTGCCGAAGGACCAGGAAAACCCAGAACTGCGAAATAGAAGGGAACGCTTGTCCATAATCGAACGATGCCAGGATCGGACGACGAAGTTGGGCCTCAGGTTCTAAACTAGTGATCCGAGCCTGCGTGTCGAGTTCGATGATGTTCACGCCGAAATTCCTGGACGGAACAAAGCCCCTCTGGGAGCTATGCGCAAACCTCGGGAGGGATCGCGTCAGCGGCTTCACACAAACCGACGCCATGAGTTTCGAGTCCGTGTTTTTGAGACCAAGCGGTCGTGTATTCGACGCCTCTCGGATCATCTGTAGGCGGTCGTCGGGGTCGTCGCCCTTCGCGATGAACACCCCTTTTGACAGCATTGAAACCGAACAATAGCGCCTTGCCCTCTAACGACCAAGCTAGAGCCTGATACAGGATGTGGGAACCTTCGGGGCGGAATCTCCAGGCAGCATATGGGAGCTGATCAGGGCCTGGGGCACTCTGTGGGACCATATTCAGGAACCTCTGAATGTCCAGCTCGGTCGGAGGCGGCAGATCTGACAAGTTCACGTCAGGCTTGAAACGATTCACATAGTGAAGAGCTGCAGAAAGATCAACTTCCTTACGAGCGAAAGCTCCTCCCCAGTACTCAGAGAGCCCATTCATCATGCCCCCAGGATCGGCACGAACATTCGGCGCCGAACCTGGCCCCTGGGACACGCGAGTGCCTTGCAAAGGCAGTTTCCTGTCGAACGGCGACCACAATTTACATCTGACCTGCAAGCTCTTAAGCCTTTTCCTCAACTTACGGCGCACCGATTCGGGGGTGCCTTCCTGCTGCAGCTGACGCCTTGCCTCGGCCTGGGCCTGGGCGAACATGGCCAGGTGCGCCTCGTCGGAGGCGGCTTGAAACATATTGGGGTCGCTGAGGCTGACGGTCCGCTCGAGCGGGTCCGTGACCAAAGACTGCTCCCCGAACGGGTGCGAGAGCCGAATCTTCTCCGCAAGCTGAATATCCTGAGACCAGAGAGCACGGGCAATCGTACGACAAGCGATGTACCTGGAGAGCGGGTCAGTCGGCCTGCCCCGAAGAATACGATCTCGAGCGAAACGAGCAGCTTCGATCATCATTTCCTTGTGAAAAGCAAGAAGAAGAGGAGGAGAGAGATCATCGTCTTCAGCGAGCGGGATAACCTTCCCTAGAAATTGCTGATACTCTGGGCGCCGAAAAATCTCCTGATGGATGCCGCGCTCCAGCTGGCTCTTCGGCTTCCGCGGTCCGAACGTGGCGCTGACGCCGGCGTGGTCCGAGACCCTCAGTGCACTCAAGATCTCGGGGTGCCCGTGGACTCGAGCGCCAGAGCACATCTGCGTGGTGCACCATCCAGGTGCCGACAGAAAAAGCCTATCAATCTTGCTGACAGTTCCCTGCGCTTTGCAGTGGTGAGTGTGTTGGGAAGTCTCGATTTCGACCATCCTCTTCAAAACAACTTTCCATTCTTCCGAAGATCTAAACTCCGACGAAGTAGGGGAAGCAGGAGGGGGGTCATGTGAGTTTAGCGCTTGGGGGAGCTCGTCAGCAAAGTTGATGTCGCCACCTACGAACACGAATACCTTCATGGGGTCCTGGGAGGCTGTATCTAAGTCCTCGGAGATCATATCTATGACCCAGTTCCGCTCCAAAGCCGTCAACCCGTGATTGTGAATGTCGTGGTGGGAGACCTGAACACCTCCTGGGAACAAAACACGAACATTCAACACACGGCCCTGCACTAGAGTTCTAGCGGAAACAGAAGGTCTACGTTCCTCCGAGTGGGTAGAGGAGAACGAAGGGAGGAAAGTGCCCACGCCACCAGCAGCATTCTCGCCGTGCTCTAGGAACGACGCAAACGCCTCGACGGGCACGTGGAGGTGGAAGAGGAAATCCCTGAGCTCAGCGAGGGTCCCGTGAGTCTCCTGGAGACCTAGAATCATCCCCTTGCCCAGGAGCTTTTTGAGGTACCTGAACTTCTTCGTCCGAACTCGAATTCTGTGGTGGAATAAGGCCTGGCATTTCCACGTCCCCACTGAGATCGGCGAAGGAGCTGCATCGCTGCCGCTCCACGCGGCAAAGATCGGGTTAAACCCGCCACTCAACTGGCGCTGGAGCCGGGTTGAGGTTCTCCAGCTTCTCACTGGCTGTCTCGCGATCGATCCCAAAGAACGCGAGGTTGGCCTCATCGAACTCGAAGATGGGCTTGGATCTAACACCTGCCCTCGGAGGAACTCGCACCAATGGTTCCCACTGCGTGGACACTTCCCCCAACTGCTTATTAATATGAAAGTGATGGTCTGGGTAGAGGTTGACCAACGTAGTCTTGTTCTTCTGCGTGAGAATCTCACGCTGTACCTGGCACGGGGACTTGTCCGTCGAGATGTACACTTCTGCCCGCGTGCCGTTGACATCATTGGCAAAGAATATCTCCCACTGAGCTGCTGCAATCTTGAAACTGCCGAGAATCTGATTGATCAACCTACTCGCATATGGTGCACTGCCAGATACACGTACCACGAAGCGCTTCGCTGCGGGGTCACTCTCGATGACGATCTCTGAGAGCTGCATGTTGTTCTTCTCCAGAGTAGGGCCGACGACGCTCTTGACCAACTCGTCGCGGCTGATGATATTCTTAGACCGACAGATGAGCACACAGGGTTCCACCTTGCGGTCGAATGATGTATTCTCCTCCGTGGGTGTTGGCGGCACTTCGTTTTGCATGATACCCAGAATAGCTTCCAGTCTTTCAACTTTCTCCTGCAACGCCTGCATCTTCTGCTCCGTGCTGCGCTGCCGCTTCTCAGCGTTACTGAGTCTCTGCTCGACCTGTTTGCTGAGGGCCGTACAAGAGGCATGAACTGTTGTCGCACATTCTCCGACCGACTTCTGAAGAGCACCGATGGTTGCCATGAGCTGGTCACGCGTGGAGTCCACATATGAACGTAAGTCCTCCTCCTCCACGTCAAGAAATACTGCCTCCCCTCCTTCTCCAGGGGAGCGACTTCGGTCTCCATCTTCTCGTTCTGTGTGCGGACGGCCACTGCGCCACCCTCCACGAGGACGAATAGGAGTAGCAGTGCCACCTGTTGCACAACGCCGTGCCTCACTCCTGTCTCTCTGCTCCTGCGACGGGAACGTTGGACAGGCATCAAGTTCAGCAAGTGTTGCCTGTGCAGCCGCAATTCGAACATCCATTGCTTCGCACGTCTGTCTGACAGACTTGCACCCGAAAGCAAAGAGGAGTCCGAGGGAGAGCTTACAGTACACAGAGTAATGGGTGTCTGAAAAAGGGATGCGGATACCCTTGTCCTGGGGCAACTCTCCAGGGTCTCACTCGCGCGCGGCGGGCCAGGCCACTTGAGACGGGGGGGTGAGTTCCCGATATGGCCTCGAGCCAAAATGGCTACGGACCTCCTCCTCCCCCTCCTCCTCCTCCTCCTCCTGCTCAGTTTCCTCCTCCTCCTCCTGCTCCGTTTCCTCCTCCTCCTCCTCCTGCTCCTCCTCCTCCTCCTCCTCCCTCCTCCTCCTTCTCCTCCTCTTTCTCCTCCTCCTGCTACGCTTCCTCCTCCTCCTCCTCCTCCTCCTCCTCTTTCTCCTCCTCCTCCTCCTCCTCCTCCTCCTCCTCCTCCTCCTACTCTCCCTCCTCCTCTCTCCCACTTGCTCATCGTCTTCCTGCTGCCTGTCATCATCCTCCTCGCCCTGCCCCTCTTTGTCTTTCTCCCGCTTCTCCTCCGCATCCCCTCTCGCCTTGCCCGCATCAACTGCGGGAAGGTGTGCCCGCAGAATCGGCTGCACACCCGCTGGCAGACACGTGAAGGTCCAGCCCGGCTCATCCTGGGCCGGCAGCGTGAAGCCGTAGGTGCGGTACAGCATGGGGTTGCACAGCTCCCCGTAGGAGATGCACACCTCCTCCCCGGCGGCGATGGCCCGGGTGGACTCCACCACCATAGCGCCGGTCTTCTCGTCGAGCCGCACCCGCGCCGCTGCTGCAGCCGGCGCGTGGTTGAAACAGTCCAGGCCAGGAATGAGGGTCGTACGTGTGCCGTTCACCTCGAAGGCACGTGACACCACCAGCAGCCAGGCGTGTAAAAACCTTCTGTGGCAACTCAGGGGGGCCTCCCATGCCATCTTGCTTGCTGGCCCTTGCAAACCGATGCTAGCCGACGCTAATCGGCGCGACATCGACGCTGATCGGCACTAAGTCGGCGCTTCGTCATCGTGCACCAGAGCACTTGGAAGACGGAATGCCGAGGACACACAAGGCTCCCATGAGTTGCTGCCGGAAGGACCCCTGGGCGCTGAGGCTCGGACGCAGCCCTGGCAAGGCACGCACGATGGCGCTATGCCAGCAGAGCACCCCCCAGGCCAGCCGCTCCACGAGCTCCCCCTCGGGCGACGCGCCCATCGCGGCGCGGAAGCCGGCGGGGTCCAGCGCGCTCCGGCGGTAGGGATGCTCGGGCAGCGTCTCGCAGAGCAGGTGGTCGGCAAAGCTTGCCCAGACCCACGCCCGAGCTGCGCCCCCGGCCGAGTGCGCGCCCCCCGCCGCGGGCGTGGGCCTGCGCCCGTCGCTGCGCCTCCGCATAGGCGCCGCGTCTCCGGGAGCCAGCGGCTGCGGCTGCGCCGTGCCCTCGGCGCGCCGCAGCTCGGCCTCGGCGAGCAGGCGCGCCAGGAAGGCGGCCTGGGCCGGCAGCTCTGGCTGGCGGCTGAGCTCCCTGGGCAGCGTGGGCCTCAGCGCCTCGGCGGGGGACCACCACAGCGGAGGCACTCGGCTTCGGGGCCCAAGGGCCGTGTGGTGACGGACCGCGTGGTGACCTCAGAAGCCCCAGCGACCTCACCGCGCGGTCCGCCGCAGCACGGTTTTGGGACCCTGGAAGGCCCCAGTCGCCCGAGACTTCCTCGGAAAACGGCCCGAGTCCCAAAACCGTGCGGTGGCCCTGAATCCCGACTGACTCGCCACGCGGTGTGGTCATCACAGCGCAAACGATAGGAGGAGGAGGAGGAGGAGGAGGAGGAGGAGGAGGAGGAGGAGGAGGAGGAGGAGGAGGAGGAGGAGGAGGAGGAGGAGGAGAAGAAGATGCGGAGAAGGAGGAGGAGGAGGAGGAGAGCAGGAGGAGGAGCAGGAGGAGGAGGAGGAGGAGGAGGAGGAGGAGGAGGAGGAGCAGGAGGAGGAGCAGGAGGAGGAGCAGGAGGAGGAGCCAGAGGGAGCACGGACAAGAAGAGGGCCCGATCAAGACGCTCACGTTGTGATGTCTCCCGTGCTGGGGAAACCAAAAGATACTGATACGGCAGTTCTCAGGACCTCTCCCAGGATGCGTTCGGACCAGGCTTTCGAGGCGAATCAAGCCGTGGCGACGAGGGCCTCCCAGGACTCCCGAGAATGCGAAACCGAGGCAAGGGTAGGCAAAATCGGCACCTTCCTCCTCTGATCCGTGGGCCTCGATCTCCCGGCACAACCGCGGATCTGCGCCGCGAACTGCGGCGGGGTCCAGGAACAGCGAGGCGGGCGTCCGGGCGAGCTCCTCGCCGGCGGCGATCCCCTCACGGGCCAACACGCCTGGCACCCGGAGCTCCGCGGCGGTCCCGCGGGCGAGCTTCCTGCTCCAGGCGCCACCAGCCTGCGCCACGGACCTGACGAGGGCGGCGTGGGACCTCGTCGGCCACCACTGGGGGAGCCGTGCCTCTCTCTCAGCCCCCCCCCGCGGGGAACCCCTCGCATCGACAGTCCCTCAAGAGGGGGCTCGAATCCGATGGCTTCCCCAGGGGATGGGGACCACAGCTCCCCCAGTTGTGGCTCGTCTGCCTCGCGTCCTCATCGGCTCGCGCACGCCTGGGCGGCATGAGGTCGCGGTCGGCCCGCTCGACAGAGCAGTTCCACTCGGCGAGCCTCCGCGCGCGAGAGAGCAGCAGGGTGTCGCCAGGGGCAGCATCCCTAGGCACGGTGATCTTGATCATGCCGCCGTCCAACGTGTCCACCACTGCCTCAGTTATGCCAGGCACGGCGTCGCCGGGCACCAGGGCGCGCAGAGGGCCTTCCCTGGCCGCGTCTGGGGGGGGCACTCCGCGCTGAGACGGCTTCACGATGTCGCACCTCCAGCCGCCCTCGTCCAGCCGCAGGTGCAGCGTGTCCCCGCGCTCCGCCTGCTCCGGCAAGGTCAACTGGACAGGCCGTGCGCCGCCAGTGTCGAGTGCCAGCTTCGTGGTGCCGGGCACGGCACCGGGAGGCACCAGCAGCGACGCCGTTCCCGAGGCCGCCGCCAAGTGCAGCACGCCGGCGCCGCCCGCGCCGCCCTCGGGCGCGCCACCGAGACCAGGGCGCCGCCGCCTGTGGCACAGTGCGGCCAGCAGCTGACGGAGGCAGCGGGAGATGGGCGACCGCCCCATCGCCGCCGGGGCCTGGCCGCGGAAGGGAGAGCATCCAGACGGCCCTCGCCGCCTTGTGCCGGAATGGATTGCGGAGGCGGAGGTAGAGAGGACTGAGGAGGTGGAGGGCGAGGGGGAAGAGGAAAACGAAGAGCAATGGCAGGGATGAGTCGGAGAAAAACAGAGGAGAAGAAGGGATACTGATGATGCAGAGGAGGAAGAGGAGGAGGAGGAGGAGGAGGAGGAGGAGGAGGAGGAGGAGGAGGAGGAGGAGGAGGAGGACACGACAACATGTGCAAAGACAGGGACCGCGGCAACTGTCTGGTGGCCACGCGCCTCCGCACGCGTCGCGAAGCGCGAGCAACTCACGCCCTCGCCGAGCAAACGCCCGAGATCTGCGCCAAGCACCGCGGGCACGCCAAACGCCGTGCCGCTATCGCGGCGGCCGTGTGCTGGCCACCAACACTCAGCAGGCACGCGCGCCGTCACCCGAGCCACTGACGCCCCACAACGCCCAGCGGAGCCCGGGCGGCTTGAGCAGCAGCAGCAACTGTGGCACGGGATCCGGCCCTCCTCGCTGAGAGCTGCCGACCGCATGGTCGGCGAAAGTGCAAGCCACAGCCCGCCACCGCTCTGGGCGATCAATGATGGCCTGCCTGGTTGCGCTACGCGCGCCAGTCCCCACCCACGGCCTGAGCAGCGCACTGCGCATCGCAGAGCGTGCTCACCCAGCAGCGTAGGGTGTCGGGCACCAGTCCCAGCACCTCGTCCCAAGCTTGGCAGCCCAAGACCCATCAACCATGGCCCAAGACGTTGTGCGTTGTAAATTCGCCGGCCCAACGGGCCAGGGCGTGCTAAGATCTCCGGTAACTGGTTAACAGTATTAACAGTATTTCTAGTTCGCGCGCGCGGGGCGGCCCCTGGGGGTCCCCCGGCGAAAAGTACCCCGACCAACGCCCGGCCGCCGCCCGACCAAGTCTACTCAGAGATGGTTTTCCTTCTGGGTGCGGCCTCTCAGGCTCCCCAGAGCGCGCTCAGAGTGCCCCAAGAGGCCCCCAAGACTGCCCAAGAGGCCCCCGAGACGCCCAAAGAGCGCTCGAAGACGCCGAAGATGACCCCAAGACGGCCCAAAAGGCCCCCAAGACAGCCCAAGAGGCCTCCAAGACGCCCCAAGAGCCTTCCAAGAGGCCTCCGAAGAGAGCCCCAAGAGGCCAAAATCGTTGATTTTCATTGGTTTTTTCGATGTTTTTTGTGTTCTGGCTTTTTCGGCTTCCGGACGCTCCAAGACGGCCCAAGAGGCCCCCAAGACCGCTCCAAGACGGCCCACGAAGCTCCCAAGACGGCGCCGAAACGACCCAAGAGAGCCCTCAAGACGGCCCAAGTGCCGCCCAAGACGGACCAAGAGGCCCCAAGACGGGCCCAAGAGGGACTCAGGAGGGATACCGAGAACTCAAAAATGGAGCCCTCCGTCCCAGAAGGCGCCCAGGAGGTCCCAAAGAGGCCCCAAGAGGCCTCCAAGAGGCCCCAAGATGTCGCCAAGAGGCCCCAGGAGACTCCCAGGAGGCCCAAAAGAAGCCCCAGAAGGCTTCAAACATGTCTCCCAGGCGCCCCCGAACGGCCTCTCAACAGACCCCAAGAGGCCCCCCAAAGAAGCATCTTGACGACGACTCTATTTCGCCCCATCGAGAGACGACCCCCAGGGAACTGCTTCACCATCAAAACTCCCCACGCAACGCGTCCGAACGACACCCGCCCCCAAGAGCGCAACATGGGCAACGAACACACAGACAAAAACCAGCGATGCCATATCACGGGCCGGCGGAATGAGCGAAGCGATTCAATTTCACGCTGGGCGCCAAAGCCGCCTCAAACCGGCAGTCCTTCTTGTGACTAGAGGCGCTGCCAAGATCGAAAACTGGAGCATCCGCGACAACCGACTGCGATGCAACCACACACGGCAATGATCATAGCCAGAGGCGTGCATACGCCATCCGACAAGGCTCCGTAAACGTGACTCCGAACGCAGCAGCACCGGTCAACCGATGCAGCACCTCCCGATCGGATCGCTTTGTCGCGCGAGCGTTGGTGCCTTCTGGCTGGCTGAAGCGTAGATGCGAAGCTCCCATGCCACTCGGCTGTTCGATCAACCTACGACGTCCTTGGAAACCTATCTACTCCCACCACGAAGCCCGCCACAAGCAAGCGCCAGTCGCACGAGGGAGGAACACGTCGGAGGCGAGTCACACCGCCGACGAGGTTTTCGGACCTGCGAGGAGGAGGAGGAAGGAGGAGGGAGGAGGGAGGAGGGGGGAGGGAGGAAGAGGAGGAGGAGGAGGAGAAGGAGGAGGAGGAAGCCAAGGACGAGGACGAGGAGCAGGAGTGAGGAGCGAGAAAGAGCAAGGAGGAGGAGGAAGAGGAGGAGGAGGAGGAGGAGGAGGAGGTGGAAGAGGAGGCGCATGAGGCGCATTAGTATTAGTGAGGAGCCATCAGGGGATAAGATGGGGAAGACGGAGGTAAACCATGAGGAAGGAGGAGATTGCAAGGGCCAGAGAGAGGGCGAGTCAGGAGGAATGAAAAACATTGGGAGGAATGAGGGGGAGAAGGGGGAGGAGGAAGGGCAGCGAGGATGAGGAGTAGGAGTGAGGCGCGACAATGAGAGAGAAAGAGTTGGGGAGAGAAACCGCATGAGGAAAAGTGAGGAGGAGTCAGCTAGAGAGAAGATGAGGAAAGAAGAGGGAACGAAGGAGGATGAGGAGGACCAGGTCAAGTTAATTAGGGAGAGAAAAAGGCATGATGAGGAGTATCATTAAGAAGGGGGAGGGGAAGCAGCAGAAGAGGGAGGACTCAATGACGAAGAGGAAAGGGAGGAGCAGGAGGAGGAGAGAGGAAGAGGAAGGAGAAAGGAAGAGGGAGGGATATGGGGGAGAGAAAGGAGGGAGAGGACCCCTCCTGCCCTGCGCGCGGAGGCGCGGCGATGCACGGGGCAGGGAGCGCGCCGGTGGCACACGAGATGCGGGAGTCGCGGGCAGGAGGAAGCGGCGCGGGGGGGGGAAAGGCGCCAGAGAGACAGCGGCGGAGGAGAAGGGCGGAAGGCCAGGGCGGGTGGAGGAGCGACAGACGGGCCTCGGAGCAAATCAGCGGACACTCGTGCCACAGTTTCATCCGTCAGCGCCTCCTCCTCCCCCCACTGTTCAGAGTCGGCGGTGGGTCTGATGAGGTGCACTTCGACCGCAGGTGCCCCCCGCGCGTGCCAGCATGGAGTTTGGGGGGGAGGGGGGCAGTGTCCAGTGATTGCTTCCCTCCAGCGGAGGGAAGGCCGAGAGGTGAGCGGCGCGTCGGAGGCAGGGCCTTCGCCGTGGGCGCCCGCGCAGTACAGCGCGGCGAAGGCCAGGCCGCAACCGAGCACGCGCGAAGGCTCCGGGACCTGCACCGCCGGCGCCCCTGGCGGCGGCGCAGGCACGGGGGAGGGGGAGGAGGCACGGGTCGGGGGAGGGAGGCAGGCGAGGTGGCGAAGGAGACGAGGGATGAATAAATACACGTCGGTCGGGAGAAGTGGACAGAAACACGAAGTAGGAAGGCGGATAAGGTGGGTTGGGTCCGGGTCCTCCCAGAGAACAACAAAACACAGCAAAAGCGTGCCGATGCTTGAAGTAGGAAGGCGCTTGAAGTAGATTGGGATCTGGGAATCCAAAAATACCTACTTTCAACGACCGGCGTGTAGTGGAAACGGCGAGGGAGAGAACGAGAGGGATGGCGTATACCGCTGGTATTTGCAGATCATGGATGCATGCGGTGGTGGTGGGTTCGAGTTTTTTGGTATCGCATTCGAGATCGTTTGACCGATGCGCGGTGCAACCAATCAACCGCTGAATATTTGCCATACGTACGTGAACATCCCAAGCGGTTCAGGGCGGACTTGGAAGCCAACAAGATAGAATGCGAGGTGAATCGCCCCCCGCACACGTGAGCGAAAACTCGCCGAATGGCTGAGGTCAAGCTTTCGCTTGCCAAGCTTGTTCCTACAAACGTGTCTCCCAACATCAATTGACGACCCATGCCTTCACGGTGCACGGCGCGAGACGGCGCTCGCGTAGCGCATTGCCCCGTGTGCACGCCGTGTTTTCAAACTCGTGCAGGAGTCGTTACGCACTCTTCTTGAAGAGCGTTCTGAGAGGTCTCGCGCTGTTGTCCTGCTGTGCTTTCCATGCTGGCCAGGCAATATCACAGCGTCACAGCACGTCGAGGTCACCAGGGGCCGTGCGAAGCAGGGACAGAGACCGGATCACGCGGACGCCCCAGCCTGTCGGTTGCTTGGTCCTTTGGCCAAGGAGGCTTACGAAGCTGGCAGGGGCCACAAGCCCCCCCTCCACTTCTCTTCCTCCTTCGAGTGAAGCTGCGACAGAGGCGCTGCCAGAGGAGTGATGTCTGCTTGCGTGTAGTGCTCCACACATCTGCCCTTTTCTCCCGTGCACGATTTCCTCCACAGACGGGCACGTCCCAAACCGCTGCGGAAAAGGAACGAGGAGTGTGGGAGCAGCAGCAGGAGAAGCACGAGGGAGAGGACTCGCAGCTGGAGCAGGAGAGGAGAAAGTAGGACGAGCGGCCATAGGGCGGGAGAGGGGCACACACGACTCCAGGAACCTAGGCTGGCCTCGCGCGCGCCCACGAAGGGGCGCGAGGTCCAGGCAGAGGAACAGCAAACAGCCACCGACGTTGACGGCAACGGCGGCGGTCAAAACGGCCACGCCGACGACGACGCGACCGACAACCGACGGGCCGCCCGCACCGGTACGGCCGATGGAGGCGGCCCCTTGACAACGGAACCCTGTATGCCTGTTCGTGTTTTTTTCGTTCGTCGTTCGCTCCCAGCCTCTCCGGCGTCCTCCCCCACGGGCCGCGGAACCCTTCACAGTCGCTGTGGTTCACTCGTTCGTGGTTCGTCCCCGGCCAAGCAAGCAAGCAAGCAAGCAAGCAAGCAAGCTTCAAACAAGAGCAGGTCGCACTGCCTCCATCATCCAGCCAGCCTGGGGCTTCATGCGCGACGACGACGACGGGACATATGAAAAAGGGGAGGCAGAAGGGATGAGAGCGAGGAGTGAGGGAGGAGGAGGAGGAGAAGGCCCAGGAGGACCGAGGGAGAAGGCGGGAGCTGCGGAGCAGGAAGGAGGAGGAGGAGGAGGAGGAGGAGGAGGACGACGACAAGGAGAACGGAGGAGAAGGAGGAGGAGGAGGAGGATAAGAACGAGAGAGGGAGAAGGGAGAGAGAAATGAGGGGGAAGGGAAGGAAAAAGGGATTGGGTTGGGTTGGGCAAGCGTGGAGACCTGGTCAAACCAGGGCACGATTCACCACATCAATGAGGCCAGGGGACCCCACTCTTGGGCGGGAGGCCCCTGGACAGACGACTGAACACTTCCTTCCCCGACTTGGAGGGGGAAGGTGGGCATTGCCTGCTGGGATTCACGGAATTCTCAACGCCGTGACTACCGCACTGGGTACAAAACAGCACACCGCGAATCACGTCCAACTTATGAGAACTGTGCACACGCGGAAAAAAAAGAATGCATCATTGGGGTCTCGCGGGCAAGGGCCTTGGGACCGCAACAAGGCCCAGGGAGGAAACGCCTCAAGAGACCCCTCAAACGAAACTTACGGCTGCAAATCTGACAAATCAGACACTCTCCTCTCTTCCTACACTGATGACCCGCCTGGAGGAGGCGAAGCTGGCGGGTGCCGAGAGAGGAGACAGCGCGGGGCCTCGCCGCCGCGCGGCCGACCCTCTGGGCGGCCAGCGGCCTGCAGGAAGTGGCCACATCCATGCTAGTGGCTAAAAGCCTGCACAGGATGGAGTGGGCAAGGCCATCGCTCTCCTGCACAGACCTGGCAACTTCCTCGGGGACGGAGACTGCGTCCGCAGCCCATCCTGCAAAGAAATCAGCGCACCAATTCAAGAAAAACTCGTCAGACCCGATGGCGAATTTCTCCTGCATCTCAGGAGTAGGATGAGACTTCGCCCACAGAACGGTGATCTGGCCAGGGCCCCGACGATCGATCGCATCCCAGATCAAGACCCACAGATCGAGCATAGGCGAGCGCTGGGAAACATGAGCCCGCGACTTGGACATCGCACGGCTCAAGGGCAGGTAATCAGTGTAACAAACAATATCTCCAACAGTGAGATTCAGGACGACCAGGAAAGCGAACAACTCGGCCCTCGGACTGGACTGCTCAGGAGTCGGGAGGGGCCCAGAGCAAACAGCACTCAAACATGTTGGGCCATCCTGCGGCTCTCCTAGCCGACATATAGCCCATCCACACCTCCTCAAGCGTTCATCCAGAGCACGCTTCCCACCTAATCCATCTAAACCCCACTGACCTCCTTCAATAACCTGCTGCGCTCCAAACAGACCCCAGGACCAAACTTGCGTGACGGGTGGGGGGGGCGATCCCCCACGTACTAGCCAGGGGCGGAATCCCTCGGGACCACAAAGCGGAATCTAGGGAGGCAGCCACAGCGCGTGCACATGGATGAGAAGTGGTCAAAACGGCAACAGTTTGCATAAAACCGTTACTGGGGCATTTCCAACATCGGAGCTGCATATCTTCCTTCTCATCTGCACATCGCGGACATAGACCATTAGAAGCGTAACCAGAGTCATGCAGCCGACCTTCAGGCCAGCAGGCTCCAACCACAATGTTCACCAACATGGCTGCACGCTGGTAGTCGTGATCCTTCAACAAATCTATGGGGCCGCCGAAAAACCGCGAGGTCAGCACCATGCTCTATTCCTTGAGCACAATAATGTTCCGCAGCCTTTGCCCAAACCTGCTGGGAACACGTATGTCGAACCCTTCGGACGAGGTGGCACCGAAAATCAGGGTCAGTGATCTGGAGGTTCGGGAACCCAGGGGCCTCCAAGAGATCCACGGCCCTGGGGGCCCACTCCAGGTCGAGGACAGTGACGCACACGGCCGCGATAGGGCCACGAACACAACGCAACCTTTCAGCAGGAGCTTTTTGAGCAAAGAGATCCTTCATGCGAGCCCATGCTCTGCGCACACCAGCCTGTGTACCACTCGGTAGAGAAGGGCAGATGTCAGCAAGTGAAGATAACTGCTCGACCCTGAGGCGGTAGATAGGGTCATCCTTAGAATCACTAAGAAGGTGTATCACAGTAGTAGTACATGCTCCAGAACTCCAGAATCCAGAACAGGTAGCCGCAGAAGCACGAACCTTCTTGAGTTCGTGGCAGGGTAGCCCCAAGACATTGTGACCGCAGGTCCCAACCGAGAGCACCCCAGGCTTGAATATTTTCCTAGACCTCCCACACATTGCTGCCACGTACTTAAGTTTCCGACTTCTCTTGAACGCTATGCCCCTTCTAACCTTCAGTTTCCAAGTCGCACGCCGCTTAGCCAAAATGGTGACTGTACCCAGATCCTCCTCGCAATCCGCGAAGGGGAGGTCCAGGCTAAACTTATCGAACATCGGTCGCAAGATACGCTCCACGTCCATGCTTGAAGCCACTGCCACTGACTTGCGCGACACGAAGCAGCCTAGGCCCGTGCCGTCGTCACGAAAAGCAGCCACTGCCTGCGGGAAATACCTGGCCAGGAACTTAAGAGTCCCTTGGAGTAACTGAGTGATGTCATCGACGTAGGAGCGCACGGGCACCCTGACCATCGGGCCCCCAAGGGAACCTTCAGGGACCCGATAGTGGGCTCGTTCCAGGACGTCGTACAGGTATCATTTAAGCCAAGGCATACTCTGACTACAACCCGCGAGTATAGATTCCCCCGCCTTGAATATAGCCGACAGCATTCGGGGGACCTCCAGAGCCCTCGGGGACGTATGCACCAACAAGCCGAGGTAGAGGAGGTAGGCAGGGTACTGATGCCTATTCGCCAAATGCATGAGTTTGTGGGGCGAGACGGAGTCGAATAATTTCTCCATGTCCCAATGGGCCGAGACGGCCGCCATACCAGACGAGAGAGCGATTTCATGGCAAACTTCTCGAAACAGCGTGGCTCTCAGGGCCGACGAGTTTTTAACAGCGGTATCCCAAAACTCAAGGTGGGAGGCATTCCAAGCGTCGATATCACAACCACGAGCTCTGCAATACATACGATACAAGGTAGGGCATTTGGTGATCGCTCTCTCCTCTTTGACAGACTTCGGCAGCATGGCCATGAAGCAAAACAAGCACCGGGGAGGGAAAGTGAGGGACTCCTCGATCCCCACGAAGATGCCTGTGAGCTGCTCCAGCGCGGCGGTTGGCAGAGCCAAAGGGGATCTGGGGGGCCATTGGTCCACCCCAGCGGAGGTGCCTTCTCCAAAACGAACGCACGCACGAGAAATATCATTCATTTCGAAGGGTTGCACCTCGACCAGGGAAAATTGGGCCAGTGCCCGCAGCTCATCTAACCCAGCGTTGAGGCACCGCTGGACTTGAGGGTCTGGCGCCCACCAGCATCCCCAGAACTGCTCGCGGTGCTTCATCATAGCCACAGGGTCGCACGCAACGCCCGAACGAGTCTCGTAATATGCAACGTGCACTTTATCTTCAGCTTTAAGATATGCGTGTACTTGTGTACCACCACGCGGAAGGGCTTGCTGCAACCCTGTACGTATAATTTTACGGGTCTGCTCATATACCTGTGCCCACGCGCGCGCAGTGATATCGGCGCCACGATCAACCACAAGCCGAGCATCTTCACGATTGTATGGAGGGTCTCCCAGAAGAGTCCCCCAAGCCTTGGCCTCATCCAGGTCCTTCAGAGGCCCAATATGAGATCCCACCATAGGAACAAAGCTGACGAGGACCTCACGATGCCTCTTTGTGTGGCTGCTGAACGGGGCCTTCAGGAGCTTCCAATATTCGCGCAACCTCGCGGAGACCCTGGACCAACATGCGGAAGCTTGAAGCAACAGGTCCTCTCCGAGCAAGAGAGACAATTCGCCTTTGCAACATGGTCCCACGACCGAAGAACTGGCGCGGTTCGTCCACCAGCGCACAGGCACGCGAAAGCAACATAAGTTCAACTGGTCGGGACCACACGAGGTACTTCATTCCAAGCTGGGGGGGGGGGGGCAAATTCTCCACCGCATGCTGCGGCATGGCAGCGATGATGTCACCAGGAATCTGCATATCCTGAGGCAACAGGGTGGAGGAGGCCTCGGCAACATAAGAAAGCCAGACATTGTCAGGACCAAAAGCCTCTGGGATCTTCATGGGAATGCGCCTCTGACAAACGGGAGTAGAGAGCGCATCGAAGCAGAACGCCACATCCAAACAAGCACGGGTCCTGAACGGAGATCGGGCGTCAGCCGATACTTTAACATATGAATACAAACTCTCACTACACACAACATGGTCAATCATGGTCTCCCCCACATCACAGGTGAAGGCGACGTTATCTGGCACGATCGTACGGGCGCGAACCGGCCCAAGAAAGCCAGACTCTTCTAACAGCTCTGGTGCCACGTTGAAGTCCCCCATGAGGACCCAGGGCACCGATAGGGCATTGACGAACTCCGCGACGGCACGGAGCCGATGGGTATTAGCCCCAGAGACACCGATGGAATCAACCAAGTAAATCACCCCCACGGCGATAGTACAGGACCAAAACCGCATCTCCAGGAAAAACCAACAATTTCCGAAGCCGACCTGGACAACCTTGCTGGTCTGGATCAAAAACTTCTGGACGCATAATCCTGGCTGGACAACTGCACAGAAGCCACCATGAGTGCCCCCGCCTGGAGACGCCAACGCATCCTGGAAATACGGCGACCAACGAAGCTGCCTGCAGAGCTTCTTAGCACGGAATATATCAGCATCACCCCGTAGATGATGCTCAGCCATAAATATACCATCAACCTCAGACACCTTAATAGCAAGGAAGTCCTGGGCCAACTTAGACCATCTAGTGATATTTACAAACTGGAAATACACGCGTGCACGTGCATCCGCCTCCCCACCTGGGGCTGGGCCAGCGCTAAAGCTGCTGCGGTGGAGCGGCTGCTCCAGGGACAAGATAATTAGCAGCTGCAGCACAGAAAGCACGGTACATCTCACAAGTCTGGGCCTCAGAGCGGCGCGTGCGCTTCGCAGCCCTGTTCTCCACGATGGTGGTGACCAGGGCCTGGCACCGCTGCGCCTGGGTGGCGTCGAGCCCCTGCTCCGCGGCCCGCTTCTTGAGGTTGGCGAGCTCCTCCCTCTCGCCGAGGTCTCCTGCATCGCTCCCTGCGTCACTCGCAAGGTCTGCGTCACCGCCCTGCCGACGGTTGACATGGACTCGGAACTGCTTCCACTGCTCGAGCGTGATGGTGGTGCAGTTGGCGAGGGACTCCAGTTGGGCATCATCCAGCAGATGCAAGTGAGACTCCAAATAGTTGAAATCAATTCGAGAATCACGGACGCAGCACTGAATATTCTTGGGGAAGACGGGCACTCCTGCAGGAACATCATGAGCACGAGGGCCGTCATCAGCTGCATCTGCCATTGCCACGTCTGGAGAACTGTCATCAGCATAACGTCCGACTGGGCCACCTGCGACAGGGCCAGGCTTGGCTGGCACGGCGCCATGGGCCTTTGCTGCCTGCGCCCGCTGGGCGGCCTGGGCAGCGGCCGCCGCCTGCGCCTGGGCCTGGGCCTGCCGCTGGGCTGCAATATCCTCCTGCTTGTCCTTCTTGAACTGGTCGGGGTTGAACGCGACCTTGGCTTGCTCAGCGGCCAACTTCTCCTGCTGGGCGGACTGGAGCAGGCGCAAGGCCTCAGCATGGGCCTCCTCCTGTTCACCAAGAAGGAGGCGGGTCTTGTTGACACGGTCGAGCTTCCACTGTACATCCTGATGAGCCAACCGTTCTGCCTTTGCAGCAGCTTCAACTTGACGGGCGAGCTCCGTCTGCTGCTGGGACGCCAGACGGTCGAGCTCCAGCACGCTGTACTCGACGATCTGCTGGGGCTTGGGCACCGCGGCCTGCACCACTCCAAGCAAGGCGGGGAACTGCTCCGACCACTTCTGGAGCTGCTCCACCAACTCAGCTGGCATGGCGATCGGCTGACCAGGCACTTGTCCGCCGTCGGCGGGGTGTGTGCTCTGAGAAGCAGCCCATGGCGCGGTATGTGCCTCCTTACTTTGAGCCTGGTATGGCCCATTGCACTTGCTGCACTTGGAACGGCCCCACGTAGCATACTCCCAGTGGCCGCATTGGGAGCAGACATTGTAGGGACGCCTTTGATTTCGTTGACCGGCCTGGTTCTGCTGCCAGCTCCAACGGCTCGTCCGTTCACGCCAGGGAGCACTCCTGCGTCACGCCGTCGAACTCGGGGGAGAGCTGCCGTGATGTGCCTGCAGCAGATGCAGGTCGCGCTCACGGCGCAGGCGTCTCCGAGCCGATGCTCTTGCGCGCCGCAGCCGACGGTGCCACGCGTGCGAGACAGATCGCGCGCGCGCGCGCCCGTCCCTGACGCGCCCCTCGGGGCTGGGGTCGTGGTCTGTCGGGCCGCTAGCCCAAAATGGGGCGCCTCGGACCACAACACCTGGAAGGAAGGAGGAAAAAGGGAGGAGGAGGAGGAGGAGGAGGAGGAAGAAGAGGAGGAAGTGCCCCAGGGCTCACCGGACCGCGGCGGGGCGGGCGCGTCCGCGCCTCCTGCATCCCCTCCGTGGCTCTCGTCCGCCTCGCGCGCAGCAGGGCGCCGACGCGGCTGCGGCTGCGGCTGCGGCTGCTCTTGCTGCTCCCGCTGATGCTGGTCCTCCTCCCCCCCCCCCTCCCCCCAGTCCTTCCTCCCTCTCCTCTTCCTGCGCCTCTTGCTCCCCCGCCTCCGCCCCTTCCTCCTTCTCCATCCCTCGTTCCTCCTCCTGCTCCTCCCGCCTCCCTCCTCAGCGGTCCCTCGGCGCCGCATGCTCCTCCTGGTCCCTCCTCATGCTCCTCGTGCTCCATCGACCCTGTTGTGCATCCTCCTCCGTGATGGGTCCTCCCTCCTCCTCCCTCCTGCGTCTCCTCCTGGTCACTCCTCCCCCTCCCTGCTGATGCTTGTCATTATCCTCATGCCCCGCGATTCCCCAAACAATGCTTGCACTTTGGGGTTTTCACTTGGCTGTATGAAATTGTTGTGTGTGTGTGTGTGTGTGTGTGTGTGTGTGTGTGTGTGTGTGTGTGTGTGTGTGCGCCTGGGTTTTCGCCACGATGGCGCCTGTGCGCGCTCGTGGGCGCCTTATGAGCTCCTCGCAAGCTGGGTCGGTGTCCCGAGGATGCGCCGCAGAAGCGCCCGGCCCCACTCGTGGGCGCCTGGTGGGCGCCCCGTACGCTGGGTCAGTTTCCCGAGGATTCGCCACGTGGCCCCCCCGTTCCCGCTTCGTGGGCACATCATGGGCGCCCTGTGCGCGGGGTGGGTCTCCCAAGCATTCGCCTCCTTGGCGCCCGTGCCCGCTCGTGGGCGACCCGTGGACGCTCCGCGCCGCACAGCTTGCACAGAATCCGCCGACTCAGTCGGCGTGTGTGAGACGCTGTCGGCGTCTTCGTCGTCGTCTTCGCCAGCCCCAAGGAAATCTAGAAACGAACAGAGAAAAGAAACGTCGTAATTAAGTCGACTCCCTCCTCTTTCCCCCTCCCTGACGGGAAGGGCGGATAACAAAAGGGGTGTAGGAGGGGGTACAGGGGGGTTCCCGGTCAGATTACCGCCCCCCCTGCAGCGGGGGCCCAGCGACCCTCCCTTCCCTCCCCTGGGCGGTCCCCCTGTGGAATGCGGGGGCTGGGGGGTGGTCCTCCTGTCGTCAGGGTTTAAAAGCTCAGTAGCCCTCCCCCCGCCCTGGCCCCGGCTCTGTCCCCCGTCCCCGCGCTGGCACACGGCTCCCCTCCCCCTCTTCCTCCTCCTCCTCCTCCTTTTCCTCCCACTCCTCCCTCTTCTCCGACTCCTCATCTGCCTCATCCTCCTCCTCTTCCTCCGCCTCCCTCCACCGCCCGCCCCATGTCCCGAACTTGTGGCAGGGGCATCAGCTCATCGTTGTCGTTATAGTCGTGGTCGTCGTTGTGGTCGTCGTCGTTCTTCTGGGTCGGCGGCACCGGCCGCAAGGCCTTCACAATAGCGTACGTCGCGTAGTTTGCACTTGATCTATTCTCCTTTCTAAAAACAGAATAAGATCTACCCCCCCCCCCCCCGGCGTTATCACTCCCCCTTTCGGGTATGTAAATCAACTACGATTCTGACCACGTGTCCATCAAAAAACATACACTATCCAAGGGGGGCTGGTATCCCCCCCTGAGGGTCCCCTTGTGTGTATATATATATGTGTATATATATGCATACATGTGTAAACAATGAAAGTAATAATAGTCTTAAAAAACATGCGGTGACATTGCTGCCGCTGTTGGGTCTTGATCTGCCGGGCATGGGTGTGGCATACGACCCCATACGGCCAATTTCCCAACATTGATATCTACGTACTCAGAACATCTGTCTGAAGTCCTGCGCCTCTACTGCTACTGCTGTCTACTTGGGGAGGCCCCTGGCTGATAATACGAAACCAGGCCCTACACTCAGCGGCGAGACACGATGGCTAGCTCCCCCGGGTGGGCAGTGTCATTGCACTGACCTTGCAGACGTGCTCGCCCCAACCTGCGGCAGGAACCTACAGGCCAATGTGGCTGGGGACAGCAGCCCGCCTCGTGGTTCCGGGCATACCACTTTTTCACGAATCCCTTGCAACAAATGAGACGAAGTGCGCACGTGCGCGTCGTCGCGCGCGCATGCCGAAATCCTTCAAAAACCTTCGGTGCCAGAAGAATGTCGCAATCGAGTTTCCAAAAAACATACAAAATCACAGTATCGCAACACTGATTTGCTAAAAAAGCTTCTGCGCGAGCTCTTGCGAAATCTTACGAAAACCATGGTTTTTTTTCAAGATTTACACAACATTATATTAAACGGGCTTCGCGCGCATGTCAAAATCTGTCGAACGCCCTTGCGCGTGTGCCGTCGCGAGAATGCTCTGCAAAAAAAATGACGAAGTGCAGACGCGCGCGTCGTCGCGCGCGTATGCCGAAAACCGTCAAAACCCTTCGGTTTTGGAAGGATTTTAAAATCGTGTGTCCAACAAACCTACAAAAACACAAGGTTTCGCAACACGGATTTTCAGCAAAAGCGTGCGCACGCGCTCTTGCGTCGTCGTCGTCGTCGTAGTCGTCGTCGCCGTCCTCCCTCCTCCCGCGTCGTCGTCGTCGTCGCCTACGTCGTCCTCCGTCTTTCCTCGTGTTCGTCGTCGTCGTCCTCTTTGGCGTCGTGGTCGTTTCCGTCGTCGTTGTTGCCGTAGTCGTCCTTCCTCCTTCTCGTTGTCGTCGTCGTCCGTCGTCGGCGTCTCGTCGTCGTCCCTCCTATTTCGTCGCCGTCGTCGTCGTCGCCGTTGTCGTCGTCGTCTTCCCTTCTCCCTCGTCGTTGTCGTCGTCGGCGCCGCCGTCCTTCCTCCTTCTTCGTCGTTCGCGTCGTCGCCGTCCTCCCTCCTCCCTCGTCGTTGTCGTCGTTGTCGCCGTCGTCGGCCTTCCTCCTCCCTCGTCGTCGTCTTCGTTGGCGACGTCGTCGTTGTCGTCGTCGTCGTCGGCGTCGTTGTCGTCGTCGAAGTCGTCGGAGACGTCGTCGGTGTCGTCGTAGTCGCCGTCGTCGTCGTCGTCGTCGTCGTCGTCGGCGTCGTTGACGTCGTCGTCGTTGTCGTCGTCGTCGTCGGTGTCGTCGTTGTCGTCGTCGAAGTCGTTGGAGACGTCGTCGGTGTCGTCGTAGTCGGTGTCGGCGGCGCCGTCGTCGTCGTCGTCGCTGTCGCTGTCGTCGTCGGCGTCGTGGCCAAATGTCGTGTGATACGTACCGTCACGGTCTTGTCTTAAGATTTCTTGCGGCCAAATTGTGTGTGGCAGGGTGGGATGTTTGCATGAGCAGTGGAGAGGACAGCTGCAAGACGGTCAAATATGAGTTGCAACTCATAGCTCACACCACATAGTTAACACCATACAGTTACCACAGCATAGCATTCACCACATAGCTTATACTGCGTAGCTTTCACCAGAACGCCACCGAAATTTCACAACGTAACTCGCACCACATATTAGATCTCACACCACACAGCTGACACAGCATCCATTACACAATATAGACTTTGCAAGAAAGCTCACACCATTTAGCCTACATACACATAGCTTGCTCCATACAGCTTTCACAACAAAGCTTGCACCACATAGCTGATACTGATCACTGACAAGACATGGTTTAGACCACATAGCTTGAACAGCATGTTTTTCACCTCGACAGTGCAATACCTCGCCGTGTAGGACTCATGCTGGATAACAATTGTTGTTTCCATGCATGCCTTTCCCAATACCCAAGACACGCAAGGTGTCAGCAACGTGAAAAAAAGATACGATGTGAACGTGATGATCGAGTTTCGGATGGGGCGAGGGGGAAACGTGTACATGACGGAGGGACGACCATAAATCGTCAAGGCCCCTGCAAAACAACTAGTACATCGGATTCGAAGACACCGCGCCTGATATACACTCGATGGGCTACCAACATATACTGTGTCGGCGCCCGACCTTCACCACTCGTCCAACATCTGAAGATGAGTCCGCACGACCGCCTCCACTGGACTGGATCAACTAAAAACATACACGCCCGCGGATGTCATTATTTGAGTCGGCCATGCTGTTCTCGAGCCCATGATGTCATTCATGTTGGCTTCCGTTACGACATTATGTTTCCGATCGTGGGGA